TTATTGTAGCAAAAAAGAGGCAGAGAGAAACTGTAGAATTATGACATATAAAATGACAGAAAGAAAGACTTAGTTTTTGTCTGATGTTTATTCGTTAAAATCTATTGAAAATGGAAACTAAACTAACAAAATATTAAATCAGCCATTTCTTCTTTTTTTTCGCCACTTTTTTGACGTTAATTCTTTTTAATACTAAGAATTTAAAAATGGTTTAATTAAAATTGTCAATTTCCCTTTCTTTTTCTGAGATTTTGGTAAATTCTTTTTTGTGTACTACTTCTTCCTCCTCTCTTTATATTTTCCTTCTGGTTAAACATACTGATATGCCAGATGAAACAATAAATATATCAGAATAAAAATGCATAAGACAAATAATATGTCTAGAAAAACTGATTCTAGTCAAGTTTTGTCTAGTCAGAATTACCGCAATTTAGCAACATAATAATTATAGTATTGCACTTTGATTACAAACTTCTAGCTTCATGATCGAACCGCAATCTAATTATAGCTAACCTTATGCGGATAAACCATAAATGAAGATAGTGCGAATGCTGTCGTTTTTATTGTTATCCAAGATAATAGCGATCATAATGTTGAAAAAAAAAAGTGAAAACAGAAACAGAAATTGAAACTGAAACAGGAGAAAAAACAGTTTTGGTGTTTGGCGCGAAAATGTTGTAAGCATATCAGTGAAAAACTATTGAACAAACTGTATCCATCATTTTAAGTGTGACCACAATAAATCTCTACTGTTACACTATAACCAACGGCACTAATAACAAAAATGATTTAATGCTCAAACTTTCAGTCAAAAAGTTCTGAAGCTAAAAATGCGTCAGAAAACCAGCTAGATACAACGACAATAAACTTCTTATTCAAATCCTTTAAAAGTAAATATGTGAAGAAGAAAAAACGAAGACATCTTTACCTGTTATTCATTACTTCAGTGGTCAAACAGGAGCCATATAAAAAGATATACAAAAAATGAATTAAAAATTCAAAGCAGTAAGCAGTCCTTACTGTATACCTGCTGATTTAGCAAGTATAAAACAGTAAACTCTTTAAATAAATTTTTTTGTAGTAATTTGCAAAATGTTGTTTTCTTTTTCTTTCTTTTTTGTTTTTATTGGTTGTTTTACAAAAAATGATAAGTATCTCAAGCCCGGAAAAAAAATAAGCAATAACAAGAAAAATAAGTTTTTTCAAGCAAAAGAGGAAACAGTATTTTTTCAATGTTCTCTTCATGTTTCATAATAACACCTTAGCAAAAAACAGTCAAAACTGTGTTTTTTTAGTAGCCCATCATTAAAGTTCCGCGTTCTGAACATCACTATAACTTCTATTTTTACTTTACAAGATTGTTTATTAGAATTTTTCAGCATCAAGTTTAAGTTAATAAAGCAGAAAATTGAACCAATTTTTAAAGTATATATTTATAAATTTGTGGATTCTGTGTTCATTTCGTTTTTGTTGACGATAACAGTGCTGATGAGTTGACCACTGCTGTTGCTGTTGTTTCGACGAGTTTTTTTCATTGTTATCTATTCAACTAACAACAGTAATAAAGAAAGGACTAAAAATTTCAAAAAAAAAAAAAAAAAAAAAAAAAAAAAA